TAGAAAACATTAGGTATATAACAAATTCTTACTAAAGTGAAAATAAATTTCTAAATTATGTTATATACTCATTAATAGCCTTTTATGCCATTTTATTAAAATAATTACTCCAGAATGTAGTTATAAAAATACATGGGACATAGCTTTTTTATATCAGAGGTTCTATGCCCTTGTCTCCCATCTAAAAATTACACTTGGGCTCTAACAGAAAAAAGATGCTAAAATATTTAACTTTCCAAAATGTCATATTTGAATCACTTTACCAACACATACATGAAACTATGTTAGACAGTTAAGACATCTGCTTCCTTGGCCAGAAATCATAGGCATTTGTGGGAATTTAAGCTGGAGATAGCAAATGTAAAACAACAGCCTCCAGAACTGGAGTGGCCTACAGCCCACGGTCGCCCACCATGGAGCCCTGAAGGTTATGTGTTTCCTTTATCTAAAGGGCTCCTAAGACTGGAGGATAAAAGAAATGGACCTGTTCTCTGTCTCACACAAGCTCTGGCACGCAAGCTCCTAACTTCTCTTGTTTCCTCTGGTTCAATATTTCCCAATGCAATTGTGTTCAATAGTACCGTAACAGACTTCACCAGTTCTTAGCCAGTCACAGTCCTGCTTTCAGATGTTACTGGTAAAGGAACTATAACATGTGGCACATGACCTTTAAGTCCTGCAGGAAACAAGCCAAATGTTTTAAGACTTCAGCAAAGAAAGACTTTGGATATGAATCTAGAGAACTGGCAGAGGATGGTCAAACTAGGCTGCATGAGGAACATCACTCTTATTTTCAGCGGTGATAAACCTTAGAAGATAGAGATGGTAGACTAAGTGGTCAGTAGGTTGTGACAGATGCAAAGCCAAAAAATGCAAAGTCCCTGAGGTGAAACAGAGTACATTTGGAGCATAGTGTTGCAGCAACATTCAACAAACACACAGCGGAACACAGGCCTGAGTAAATGATAGTGAGGGGATGGAGGCCACTCTAGGAATCTAGCATCCACGTGGTGAGGTGAAGCACCTTACCAACACATATATAAAACTATCAGACAGTCAAGACATCTGCTTCTTTGGCCAGAAAATGTAGGTGTTCATATGAGCAAGGAGTGACAGTCAACCACACAATCCTGCATGATGATTTGATAAAGAACAGCCAGGAGAAGAGAAAAAAATTAGCTACTGAAACGCTCTAAGTAAGAAAGGGCATCAGATTCAGAGAGTGAAATGATGGAAAAGAACAAAGCCAAAAGGTATTCTAATCCATCAAAAGAAAAGTGATTGGTAACTAGCTGACCCAAAAGATGAACATACCTTTCTTCCCACTAACACCCATGCAGCACATGGCCAGAATGATAATTTAGTCCAAGCAGTGAAAAGGCTAATTTTTACTGAAAGTCTGTTGTGTGTCAGATACTCTGCTTAATGTGTTACTTGCCTTAATTCACATTCTAAAAATTGCTAATGATCAATTTATAGATGAAAACAGAAGAACAAATGCTATGACTTGTAACTAGATGTCTCCCCAGAGCCTCACACACTCTTAGGTGGGGCTTTTAGGAGGTGACTGGATCATGGGTGTGGGGTACTGGATTAGTCCAGTGATGGGTCTATAGCTCGGTGTGATTTTGGGATGTGAAACCTGGTAAGGAGAACTGGGTCGTTGTGGGCATGGCCTGGAATGAAGGAGGGGTGTGTGTGTGTGCGTGTGTGTGTGTGTGTGTGTGTGTGTGTGTGTGTGTCTACTTCCTCTTCTCTTGACCCTGCTCTCCATCCTTCCTGCCATGCCATAGACTAGTTCTCCTCTGCTATGCCCCTCTGCTATGCCACACTGCCTTGGAATGAGCTGACTATAAACTAAAATACCTACAAACTGTGAGCTAAAATAAACCTCTTCTCCTTTAACTTACAGATGTCAGGTATTTTGTACCAGCAACTAGAAAGTGACTAAGATAAGAAAAAAGATGACCTTCCCATGTTCATAGCATAGATGGTGAAGAGAATTAATAACAGCAAGCACTAAAGGAGAACCTACTATTTCCCGTGTACTGTGAGAAACAATGGTGTATACACACAGTCCTAACTACAGTCTCACCAGATCTAACTCCTAACCTCATCATTTTCTTGTGTTCACCACTCCTGTACACTCTTATAGAAGAAGCCCTTGCTCTACCTCAGGTACAGCATTTGACCAATGCCATGCTGTTTCCATGTCATGAAATTAAGCCTAAATTTCTTATTTTTTAAAAATGGCATTATTTTTGAAGTCAAGAATGTCATTTTACACTTTCTTTTTAAAATGCTGATGATCCAGAGAAATCACAGTACTTTGGTCAACTGCTCATTCATTATTCATATTTTAAGCAAGAAAAGCTAATGTCAACTCTTAGATCAACATAAAAGAACAGTTACATCAACGTTTGGGGCTTCTTACTCTTGCAGTCCCACCTTTCCTGAATCAGAATAAGAGGAACTTCAGCTTCAAAATTATGAAATTATTTCAAATGAAATAAATGAAATTATATCAAAATTATATAAACAAAACTCTAGTTTATATTACAGTACTTAATATAAACAAAACTCTAGTTTATATCACAGTACTTAATTAACTTGAAAAGATTATATTAGAAGGAAAAACCCATGAATAATTTGAGTATCTCTAACATTCAGAATAGTAAAAATTAAAATACACATGGAATTCTATGACAATTAGAAAACATTTCATTGATTTAATAGTTATTAAGCACTTGCAAAGCACAAGATAATATAATTGCAAGAGATATAAAAATTACTGAGCCAGGACACTGTTTCCACAAGTTTTAGTGGTACAAGATAGGACACAAGGAAAGTAAACATCATTGTAGGTTAGGGCATGTGGTAGCTGGGAGACAATTCTCCATGGCTCTCTTACATTTCTGCATATATTGTGAATAAAACAATGACTATCCTTTGCTATGAATTCTCTCTTTCCGGATGTTTCTATAGCAAACAGCCTTGGGAGCAGGGTGGTACCCCCATCCAGAGCAAAGTGTAGCTGTGCTCACAATCCTGGAAGATGTATATAGTCTCTCTTGATAGTGTAAAGGGAAAGAATGCTTACTGGCCAGTTTAATAATGTGTCCCTCCAAAGCAAAGGGTAGATGCGATTACCACTCATTATAAAAGATTACAGGCTTTGTGCAGCAATACAATTTCTCTTTGTGTCACCCTGTGGGAATCTGAGCTGAGGCCACAGTGTACATATAATCAGATATTGTCTCTATCAATAATAAACCATCCTTTGTTTCTAACTTAGGAGGCTTGTATTTTCTACCAACATCTAAGAAACTGTGGTAGGTTAAAATCCTTGGGCCAGGGATGTAGCTCAGTGGCACAGCGCCTGCCTGGCAAACGCAAGGTCCTGAGCTCAATTCCTGGTACCAAAAAAAGAAAAAAGAAAATATAAAATATCATATCTTTGATAGATCTTGACTGCTCTCAGTTGCAAAAATGCCAAAGAATTCTTCTACTTCCCTTACCCATTCCTTTTCTCATCCTGTTCTTACCCCAATTCTGGAATACCCATGTGATTTGCTTGGCCAATGGGACACAAACAGAAATTTAGAAAGTACCTGTACATTAAGGTTTGCACTATTGCTGACAGAATTTAGTCATCATGTCAAAAAGCCAGGGCTTCAAATATGGGCAAGAACTCTATGAATTACATCCCTAGCTCCCGACAGAAGGCTTACAAAGGAGACCTCTGGGCATACTCTGCCAGAGTATGAGGAACACTGTGGCAGAGGAGATGAAAACTGGAGGGCAGCAAAAATCGCTGAAAAGTGCCAAGAACTGAAATGGTCTCTTGTGCCCATGTGCATGTATTTGTTCATACCGTTAGATGTACACACGCACAAAACCAAGCCATTTCCCAATATTAAATTCAAAACCTAGATGGCAGAAACCTAAATTAATCATGAAGAGAGCTACACTGTGATCTACAGGAAGACAAAACATGTATAACATAATGTGTACAAAATCAAAACAAAAGTCATTTTAAACACCCAAGCCAATTAATGGATTGCCCATGGTCTACACTGGTTTCTGTATAATTTAGAGATTTTGGTGAGGGAAACTTTTTAAATGATACAAAGTTACTTTCCTGTTCATATAGAGATTCATACTGTTATGTTTAAAAATATTACCTAATTTGCTGAAGCTATATTGAAAAATTAAATAAGAATTTTAAAATGTATACTCAGAAATTAATTTCAAAACAATTTCTGGCGAATCATTTCCCTCTATATCTGGAGTTAGAAAAGACTAGTGCTTAAGAGTTAGACAGAGATATTAGCTCCAGATCTGCTATTTAGGAACTCTGCAACTAGTTATTTAATTTTTACAATAGAGCAAATTACTTAACCTCTGAGATTCAGTCTCCTTAGATGGAAAGTGGTAATTTCAATAGTACGTACATGCTTTAAACTGAACACTAAATGAGATCTGCCCATAAAGCCCTTTGTCCACCAAAATCACAGGCAATGCTGAATACATGGCACTTCATCAACTATAAACATTCTGTACACTTTCATTTTCAACATAATGGCAATCATATCACCACATATAATTAGCTACTGGAAATCAAACTCCACAGCTCTACCAAACAAGACAACACACTGTTTTCAAACTTACATGTCAACCATAAAGTTTCAGGGGGTCAGCTGCATCTGTGTAGTAGGAGCAAATAATTACAAGGCATTAAGAGCATGTATTGAAAATTTAAAAAATCAGAAACACAACATATATTTAGGGAAAACTTTTATTTTCATCAATTGTTTTACCGAGTATTCTGAACTTGGAAAGATCCCCGGGTCTCATTGTGCTCAGGAAAGACACATAACCCAGCGTTCAAATTCTGGAAATGACCACCTCCTTGGCTCGTGGTTAAATGACAGTCCAGGAAACACCATGACTTTTCCTTATTGATATCCTAAAGAAGCAAGCAAGCTACCTCAACTTACCCGGAAATAGTCGCTGCATGCTGCCAGGACTGCCTTGTGAGCATGGAATTTCTGTTCCTCAGCAATCAGGGTGACATCACAGAGTATGCCGTCACTTCTCTGCTGATTCAGTGCAGCCAGGACGCTGTCATTGTGAGATTCTGAGTGGCAGAGCCTCTGCCCTGTCAGCATTTCTTGAATACTACAAAGAAGAGCAATTGATTGCTTCCTTACTTACTTGATTGATTATATTACGAATTGAACCCAGGGCCTTTGCTCTGCGCTACATTCCCTGTCTTTTTTTTTTTTTAAATTTTGAGACAGAGTCTCACTAAGTTACTCAGTTGCCTGGCCTGAGTTGACTTGCTTCCTCTCACCAGCCTTGCTTCCTGGATGCTCTCTGTCTTTTCACACCAACTGAGGGAACTTGGCCTCTAGCACACTTTGAGTTTAACCTTCAAATTTCTACCTTTTTTTTTCCTCTGTTATTGTCTGGTCCTGGTTTGTTTTGGGGGAGTTTTTTTTCTGATTTTTTCCCTTTGCTCTCTCCACCAGGTCTCCTTCTCTCTCTGACTAGTTTGTGAGTTTGTGTTTGTGTATATGCCCATCTGTGTCTTTGAATCTGTGAAACTGCTGCTAGACCCCTGTCCTCAGTGTGGGTTCATCTCCCAATGTGAAACTTGCTGTGGGTGTGTTTGTGTGAGAGAGAGGGAGAGTCTTACCACTTTATGAGCCTCTCTCTTACCTCCTATTCTTTCTCCAGCTTTGTTCCTGACCGGATCTTCCCACAGGACAAGACATTCCATTAACGAATATAAGAAAACTGAGCAAATGCTGGTTAAGGGGGAAAGAACTGCAAGTGAAATTATGTTTCACAAGGAGAACAGCAAAAGAAATGCTTCTGTAAGTTAAAAATCTAAAGTTGAAAGTAATCTATTCATATTATATTATCAGCCTTCAATGTCTACATATATCATTATACAGTACTAGGTTTATTTTGTGAGGTTGCTAAATTTATTCATTGTGACGCTTACCCCTCTACTGTCTATCTTACCTTTATATCCTTTCAAAACTCCTAGGTGAAAATCTAGAATTTCCTAAAATGCAAAGCAAGTGCTATGAGCAATTCCAGTTCAGATCGACAAACCTCTCAGCATGCTTTGAAATCTCAGGGTAGGTTCTAGGCTGAGATGAGTGCGGTATGCTGGTAAGAAGTTACCCTGAGAAGAACAAAAGGGCCATCAAGCACTGTTTCTGGACAGTTGACTTTTCTCAAAGCTGAGCAAAGGTAACTCCCAGCCACTCCCACACACTTGTCATTCCTGCATCCAATCCCGCCTCTGAACATGAAGGAGTTGCTCAAAGGAGCCAGGGTCATGCCAGTCTTGTTAGCATGGCGGGTGTGACAGGGCTCCGCCTGGCCAGTGTGCCAGTTGATTGGTAAATTATAGTTAAGCACCAATCATCATCTTAAAATTAACCAAATGCTTCCCAAGAAGTGCTAGAGTGCAGTCCGTAAATTTTATTGGACATTTTTGACTGGGAAGCATCAGAAATATCAGAACTATGGAAATAAATGAACATGACAGGGGGTGATAATATAGGAAGCTGTCGTGGGAAGGTGGGAAGATTATTTTCAGCTGGCATGAGACAGTGAGTTTTGAGATGGTTATTGTCACTGATATTCATCTAGTGGTTGTAGCTATCAAAAAATTTGTTAAAATAAGTAATTGAATATCACGTTCAGAAGCATAAATAATTTTTTATAAATTTTTAGTGAAGCCTAGAATAGAGATTAATTAGCATCACTCAAAGAAATGAAACTGAATAATAAAAGAAATATTACACCATGTAAGTATAGTTTAAGAATAATCTTTGAAAAACCTTTCCTAAGAGGAAGATATTTTATATATTTAACAAACACATAGTGCCTACCATGCTCAATTATTAATTCATTTAATCTTCTTAGTCACCTTAAGAGGCAGGTACTTCTGTTATCTATCTTATAGATAAGAAAATTGAAAGTCTTAGATCAGGCATTTTGAAAATATAACATCAGAAGTGTAGTAATATAATTCCCCTTTCTACTTTAAAAAAAGATAATCTGTAAAGAAGATCTCCAAACTTCATGCTTAAGGGGACCAAAAAAAAAAAAAAAAATCACAAGACTCTTGATTTTATGTCTACATCATGTAAAATTAATCTCAAAATCAGTCCTATAGGATAGTATACATGAACATAATGAAATGATTATAATAAGAAACTGTTTGAAATCACTGTTCAAAAATATTTGTTATAGTGATTAAAAGTTTCAGAATTATTATGGATTTTTATTGTTGTAATCTTAAAAAATATACTTCACTCTTTCACATTTTTTCTCCTCTGTTTTATCACCTTAAATGCTAAATAAATGCATTCTGATACGTCATTTGTAACGGTAGGGAAGAGTATATTAAAATAATTGCCTTAAAGGGTTTCCTTACTCATGGTCCAAATATAGCGCCACAACTCACATCCTTCTCATTAAGCCTCAGTATTTGCATTTTAATGATCTCCTGAGAATGAATAAACCTTGCCAGGCGATGCGCAGCTGTAAACTGAAATTTGGCAAAGAATAAAGGGCTCGGTTTTAAAACAATAGTGATGCTACGGAATTTTACAAGATCTTTCAGCATGCCTTCAAATATTCAAGCCTGAAGAAAAGAGCTTGCTAAATATTTACAACAGCACTTGGCACAAAACCCTAAATATTTTGAAACCAATGTGTTAGGATTCCTTAAAAACAGAAACAAATACTCCAAGATTTGGCAAGAAATAAAGACCTACTAATCAACAAGTCATTATCATATTCCAAAATTAAAAGTAACTTCTCATTCAATGCTCGGAGGTAAATCTGCAAAAGACTTTAACCCTCTGAACCTGAAGGCACACTGACCACAGCACGCAGCTGGGAGGGGACACATGCACCTTACGAAGTAACAATCCTAAGCCAGGGAGGAAAGAATCAAAGACTACACGGTACCTATGTTTACATTAAGGAGGAGGGAGCGGACTTGTGATCAGCTCCCTTGGCATCTGTACCATACATCAAATTAGCAAGTAAAACCTCCCAATTTAGAGGAACTCCCATCACTACTTTGGAAACAAAGAAAAAAGAAAAACCACATATTTTAAAACTTCCTAAATTACTGGGAAAACATACAAAGTACAAGAAAATGTTATCACCTCAAAATTCACAGGTAATGCCGTGGGCATCTTGGCTTCCCCAAAGAAACCCTTTTTACTGAGGGCATCCGGAGTTACACTGTCCAGTACAGAAGCTGTGTAACTTTTAAGCACACCAAATACTGAGCGCTCCAAACTGAGATGTGCCGTGAGTGTAAAATGCATACTGGATGGCAAAGGCAGTACGAAAAAGAGAAGGCAAAATATCGCCTTAACATTTTTACATTGATTGCATGTTTAAATATGCTATTTCTGGCACTTTAGGTTATACAAAATAGACTGTTAAAATTAATTTGGCTTGTTTCATTATATTGTTTTAATATGGCTGCTGTAAATTATGTACGCTTTCAATTCTGCTTCTATCGGGAAGTCTACAACTTCCCACGGAATATATATATATCTTTCTATTTCTTTTCATCTCAACCCTATATGGGAGGGCTTCAGGTGACCCCAATCAAGGAATAGTCCTTGATTGTCCTGTATCTCAAAGGGCCAAGCCTAAACCCTGGTACAACCATGGGAAGCCCTGGAGTCCCCAGGCAGCAGATTGCTTTTTAGTAATGCCAGGGAGTAACCACTTGATGAGCCGTATGTCAGCCTCCAGTAATGGGGAGATTAATGCGCGGGGTCTCAGGCAATGGGAGTATTCATGACTTTGAGCCTGTAACTTTCATTCTGAAACTGATGGCACAAACTAATAAATCAAATGCAGAACATGATGTTCATAACATTGTAGACCCTACTAATAGGGGACCACTGCTTCAGTGCAAATTGCTACTTTGAGCTCAGAGAGTTAACATTTTTGACCATAGAAATCCCACATGGTCTCATTTTCACAGAATAAAATTAGACTGAGTTCAATTTTTAGGATGTAAATTCCAAAATGACAATATAGTTTTAAATGTCCACATTTCAAATTTTAAAATTTAAGTGAATTTCTGTATCAATGTTTACCTAATACTCAGATATACAAAAAAAATAATGAGTATTTTCAAGTAAGGCTACCAATAAAGTATTACATTCCTTGTTATCACGTTGCACAAAGGCCTCATTTCTTAAATAGATTACACTAAAAGGAAAAAGAATGGGCAAAAATTCTGAATGGTAATATAATTATTTCTGATTATCTTAATTCATCCTATTGATTATCAAGTGTCCCATCACTTCAATAGCACAGTCAAATATAGTATACAAATTAAATTCATATAAATACATTAATAGTAAAAGAATCCCATTTAATTAAGTGGGAAGGCTGTTAAAAGGTTCTATAATGGGACTTAATTTTATTTTATATACTTTACATTTTATAAGTCTTTAAATTGAATGTTAACAATTAATAGTCATGGCCATAATAATAAGCAAAAAGGATAATACTTGGAGAGTAATTCAGAGATAATGAAGACTGCAAAAAGAATACAATTATAAATGAATAATTTTGAATCCTTCTTTCCCTCATTTATTCACCCCACAAATAATTATTCAGCCTTATTATGCTAGGACAGTACTGGCATAAAACTGTACAAAGCAGATACTGTCTTAGTCCTTGTGGAACACTCAGTTTAGCAGAGTAGTTACACATTAATCAAGTAATCTGGCTTCCTTAAAGAAGTAGCACTTGACATACAGGCTAATGGACAGTGTAAGTTACCCTGGTAAAAAGAAGAGAGAAGCTTCTCAGGCAGGAGAACAGTGAATGCTCTGACCCTGTGGCAGAAGTGGGCACGACCCTGAAAATTTGTCTACAGAAGGTTAATGGCCAGAGCCCTGAGGACAAGGGACAGCATGCCTGGTCCAGGAGATACCTGAGCAGCAGAGACTAAAGTCCACTGATGCAGGATGTCAAGGCCAGGTTACTCTAGAGCCATGGAAGTCCCAGAAAATGCCATTCAGGCCATAGTAACAAGAGCAGTTAGGCAGTCTGGGCTACACTAGCAGAGTTCTAGAGTAGTGGCTATTTTGAGATGAGTTATAGACTTTGGCCTTGGATTGGAATACGTGGATAGAACTTCTGAGAGGTGAATGAATTTGAAAGTTACTCAGAGGAGAGGTCTAGAGGTCTTGGTGATGACTATATATGGAGTTGGGTGGAAAGGAGGTTCCCACCAAGGTACCCACATTTCAAGTTTATATAATTTGATATTCTCCGAATAGGGGACTAGTGAAATAGCATGAAAACTGCAGAAAAGGAAGATGATAAGTTCAGTTGGATATGTGAAGTTTAAGTTATCTTTAAGACTCACAAGAGCAGATGTCAAATATATAGTTTGATTCATGGATCTGGAGCTCAGAAAGAAGTCTTAGCTAGAGATACACATCTGTGACTGATCTGTAAAAAGTGGGTAACAGAAGCACAACTGCGTCTCAAGAATATATTGAGAGTTGGCCAAAAACGGTTGCTGAGAAGATGAGAAAGATGGGATTTAAAGCACGGAAGCAAAATTTGGCTTAGTTGTGGGAAAAGGCTGTCCCCTTGAGTAGCACGGAACAGGTGGATCAGAAACATATACTGCAACTTTGAGCATTTTTTGGCTTGACAAATCTAAACATTTTTGTGAACCACTCTTCACTAGATTACATAGGCATGTAAATATGGATAGCTGAGTTCATCTGGATTGGGGTTTTCTTCAGCAAATGTATCAAAAATACCAGGAATAAGAGAAATGAAGGATGCAACAAGAGTGACAGACTCTAAACTGGTCAAGAAGGAAAATGAGAAAGGGAAAGCTTTGATGCTTTTGTAGAAAGTAGTGAGGCCAGCAGATCAGACCTGGCTAAAAGGGCTAAGTACAACCCTCGTGGGGGTAGGTCAATGGGCAAGTAGAAGGAGAGGAAGGCATGGTAAGAGTAAAGCAATTGATGTAAAGATTTCAGAAGTAGAGCAATTGCTGAACGACAAGGTCCAAGGTGTGACCATGGGAGTGGGTGGTTAAGAGGAACGAGACGTCTTTAGGGATTAATAAGTTGAGGGTCTGAGGTCCATGAAGCAGGTCAGATCTTTCCTGACACTAAAGGCCCTGAGAAGTTGTGAAGGGTTTGTTGTGGGGAGGAAAACTGCAAGTCAGGTGCCAAAGTACTCAGAGACTGAGGGGAGATGACTCTGACCACAGCTAGGAGGAAAAGGGGATAAGAAAAAGATAACCACATTGGAAAACCATGTCTTGCTGCAGCTTCCTCAAACAACCAGTCTAAGAAGTAATGACCTATGAAGACAGTTATGCCCCAGGAGGACAACAACCCAGCAGGATCAGTAGAGATAGCTATCCCTGAAACGCATGAGATGTGAGGAAACAATGCTACTGCATGAGAGGGCTACCAGAGAAGTGGTCCTCAGGGGAGGATGGGTCCCAGTGAAGCTGGAACAGGGGGATGACACAGAGGAAAGCACATGGTCATGTTGCAAGAGTTCCAAGCGGTGTGGGGAAGGATTTGAGAGGTGGGGAAGAGAGGCTTCTGCGTTAAAGTGGAGCAGGGGAGATCATTATAGAGAGGATTACACTGAGGAGGAGAGCAGAATAGGAGTTGACTCATGAAAACAGGGTTACCAGGTGTTGAGGCACATGTCTGTAATCCCAGCACTCAGGAGGCTGAGGTGGGAGGATCTCTGCAAGTCTGACACCAGGCTGGGCTACATAGTAAGACCTTGTCTCAACCCCTCACCCAAAAAGCAGTGATGATAGATTGAGAGGAAAAAAAAAAAAACCATTTTGAACACACACTGGTCTTGATAGCCAGGAGTAAGTCATTTGGCTGAGGTAGCGGCAGACAGATACCATGGTCCCCATGCATGGTATTTGCTGAACACCAGTTCAGAGCAGTTTCTCAACCGCAGAACGGGCATTCTCAGCTGGGTTGGGTTTTGCTGTGAGAGGCTGTCCTATGCATTTAATATGCTTAGCAGGATTCCTGGCCTCTACCCACTACTCCAGGTAACAAACACTTCACTCCTCACTCAGAACCACTGGCGGAGTAGAATGAAACTCACATGGCTACCGCAGAGGTCTTACACCTGCTGTAGGGATATGCCATTTCTGGAACCAGTTTTAGAACTCCTCAACTCTTAACAGTTTCAAAATCATGGGAAAAACTGGTCTCACTAGTTAATAAATATACCCAATTCTTAACACTGAACAAACACGACCCCAGGTTTATCACATCTCCTGTCTTTTGCTCTGAAGAACTTCTATTTCCTTAGAGGAAGAGGAAGACTTGCTGTCTCTGATGAAAATATTCCAGTGAATGTCGTACATTTTCTGACACTGTGCCCCTCTATAGTTGGCATGTGCCAAGCTCTTTCCCGCCATGAGCATTTCCCCACGCTATGCCATCCATCAGACAGCAGGTTACAGAGCGTTTCCTCAGGAACTCATTGCCCTACTGTATTTATCCTGCACTTCCGCTGAGCTCTTTTCACAATTCCATTTATGTTGTTACCAGTACGATTGTTTCATGTCTGTTTCTCCTAAGGAATACCTATTCCATGAAGGCAGAACCCTTATCTGCTTTATTAATAGCTGCATCCTATTGCATCAAGTAGAGTGCTTGGCTCAATAAGTATGTGTTAAATGAATGAACCACTAAAAGAAAATGCTATCAGGATCTTGAGAACAAGCATTGTACTCCCCTATGATTTCTTTAAAGGGAGCTATATTCATATACGCATAGTTTTCTGATTCCTCTTTTAATTCTATACCTTTGCAGTAATATATTTTTTGTTTAAGACTAGTAAGCATTACTCACAAAGAAAAAAGTACCATGAAACTTCTCTAGATTTGACCAAGAAACTAGACTTTTGCGCTTAGGCTTTATGCCACCACCCACCAAAATCACACATTCTAATTTATTCCTTTCTGTTTTCAAACATGCATTCATCTCCTACTCTGTGCTTGGTCCTGAAGTCTGCAGTGTGACTAGTTCAAGGTTCACTGAACACACCAAGCGAAGAAATCATCCTCAAGTATACCTGAGGCAACGTTCAGAAGGCATTCTCCAGCTGGGGTCCTCAGGCTCCCGGTCTTAGAAGTCAACGGAAGGATCAGCAAGCATTCCAGCTGCTTAAAAAAAGATAAAACAGAAGAACATATTGAGCTAAATGCAAAAACAAAACAAAACAAAGGCACAAATTTCAGTCTTCATGATGCTAAAGTTTTAGAATCCCAAAAATAGGCAGGTTGGGGAGTTTTGTTGTTGACGTGAAACGTTCTAATGCTCTGCTCTTTTAACATGCAATGATTCTAGGTGTTTTTAATTTTTAAGTTTTTCCATATTGTTGGAGAATCAGGGACTCAGAAGTAAAATGTGTTTAAGATCAACAATAGCTAGTTAAATTGAAATAAAAAATAAAACATGAGATAGCCAAAGGGAAAAATAAAGATTTGCTAGAGTTACAACGATCTAAGTCACAAATACTAGTCAACTTGTGCTTCATAGAGATTTTACTTTCCCTTCAAACATGAGTAGTAAAATCAAGTTACAATCAAGTACCTCTTTGGATAATTATTTATGGAAAGATGATTTTCTATTTAAAACAGATTTCTGAAAACTAGATGGACAAAAACACAGAAAGGATGGGATGAAATGAAAATTGGATTCTTTCAGAGTTCAGGATTAGCATAACTGAAATACAGAACAGGTTGGCACTGTTGGGCTTGAAAATGCTCTTTGGCTAAATACACTTACTCATTCTGTCCCTGCTCCCAACCCTTGCCTTGCTCTTAATCATTTATGCAACTCTAAACAGAAAAAAAGAAAGCATTTGCATGGTCTGGGTCTTGGTCCATGACTATACTTTACAACTCTCACTAGAGGGTCTCGCCCTCATTTTCTAATACTCCCAAGTAGCAAAATTAATTACAATCTGGATAAGCTAAGCAGACTCCCTTCTGTCTCAATTTTATTTTCAAAAATGATAACAGTGTGAAATGCTTATGAAAGAAATATGCTAAACTCTGCCTATTTCTGCTGATTTGTATCAAAAGAGAGCTGTGATTTGCAATCTGAACAAAAAGTAATATTTTGTTACATTGTATGCAAATTTTTATATGGTATGATTGTATAATAGCTCTTGGAATATATCATAATTTGGTTAAAAATTCTACGCCATTGACTTTTAGGCTGTTTCAATCATTTTTTGGTACAATTTATCTTTTAGCTCTTTTTTAAATTATTGAATATGGAGTATCAATACTCTCACTTATTTATTTATTTATTTGTACTAGGAATTGAACTCACAACCTCAGGCTTGCCAAACAGGCACTGTTCTGCTGAGCTATATCCCTGGCCTCAGTACTTTCACTTATTTCTAACATAAATTTTGACAAACCTGAAAGTGAGTGTCATTTTTAATTGGTCCATTATGACTGAGCAGCATAGGTGGCCAGAATAATTCTACCCACATTGTTTAATTAGCTGAGAGACTTGCTTAGCAACCTGTTGTTGCTACAGTTTCTTTTCAGAATCTGGGTTACAAACTCCAGATGCTCTGATCTACAATTAACAACTGAGATGGACACCTGAACATGAAAACTGCCAAGAATACCTTTTTATAACAAGGATGTGAAGCTTTTTAATCTTTCTGAATGTCCACTGTTTTTCAAACACTCCCAATGATCAGGTGACAAGAGAATAAGAAATCCAAAAATTAAAGTAATTCATAGCTAATGGCCACATCTAACATGTAATTTTCAGATATTTTAAACATAATGACTGAAAGTCATCAAATAAATTCCCTTCTATAGTCAATTATTGTTTGGAGGCCAACGTACTAAAATAGCTTTTCTTAGGAATCATCTAATTAGAATCTGTTACATCCTACAAAGTTTATTGAAATGGACATCATTTTTAGGAAGGGTCCAAACAAGAGAAGAATGTATCACCACGGACGAAGTTTTCTTATCATTTATACTTTACTATTTTATATGTGTTATTTCCTAAATAAATATTTGCATATTAAATATTAAATTTGCATGTAACATTAAATTTGTGAGCAAATATAATTTTTATACAAACTTTCCATGACAGTGTGCACAGCATCCAGTACAGGTACCTGAAAGCTCCAGCCAGGCCTGAAATGCACATCCCGACCCAAGGCTCTTAACCCTTCTCATGAGCACAAGGAGTTCCAGGCCAATCTCCTGGTCCGCCTCCTCAGACTCCATAAACGAGTTCGGAGCTGAGCCAGAGTGGTGGAACATCAGCCAAGGTGTGAAGAAAGGCTGGAGTTGCTCCCCGTGCCTCAGCTCTTGGGGTTGCTCATGCACCATGAGAGCCACGACCACACTGAGCACCAACCCCGCAGGAACTGCTAAGTGGGGCAGAAGCACGGGCGGCGGCTCTTTTTCTGTGAATTGGGACATGGGCAGCTTGCAGGTCTCTTTGAACTAAGGCCATGCACAACTTTCTGAACCCCACGGCAGGACAAAGACTTTGTCCTTCACCCAGCTCTAGTCAGGCTCCTCCGAGCTCTGTGTGCAACTAGGCCTTGTCTTAGGACATGCCTACAAGAGCTTTTGGTCAACCACTGAATAAGTGTAAATATTACTTTGGTGAGCAGAGAATGTATATTAACATCACTATGATTTAAAGGTAACAAATATAAAATAGTTAAGAAGCACGTGTTAAATTTTTCAGTACCATTCAACCAGCTTCTCGACTCAATGAATTTAGGATGTTCCCCTGCATCATAACAACTATGAAGAGAAAGGCAAGGTGGGGCACCAGAATACGCCAGGGCAGAGCACAGCTCTTCAGGACATACACTGTTTTATTCCTGATATCAGCAATTTATAGTAAAGGCAACTACAACCAGACATTAAGTAAAATGCAAGAAGTACAGAAGTAGGATACTGGAAAAAGGTCCAGAGACTTTTATGCCTATTATGAGTCATATATGAGTCATACCTATTATGTGCATGGGTTTTAACCACAAAAAACTAGTTAAATTAGATAATTTTATATTCAAGGGCTTGCTGATTCCAATTCTATATCAAATTAATACATCTTAAAAGGAAATAAGCATAAAATGAATTGGTGCATGTGCAATGGTCCCGGTTATTATTTTATTTATAAATTATATAAAGTGACCCTTTATCTTTGATTCTAAGATTTCTGATTATCACATGAAGTAAAACATCAGTACATCATCATACGATTACTAATAAATGAAATTAGATGTGCTTTTAGTCAGAACGACAAAATACACAGTAGGACCCCACTGGCACACTTCCCTATATAGAACATGCATTCCTGAAGATTAATGAGGATGTTTTCATTTCAACGACTGCAAATGCTTAAGTTCTTCATCTAAATAAAAAAGAACTCACAAGGCTTTACTCTCAGGGAAAGCCCAATGTGGGAGCCAAAGCCCAGTTTGCCACCTGAATAGAAAATTAAGCCAAAAGAACAAAGTTGCTCCAGTTTAATAAAACTTTACAACTCCTTTAATACATAAATATTGAATATTCAGAACATACTCCCTGAGATTATAACCTTGATACCATTCTATTCAAATTCGCTATTACAAATTTTAATTAAAAACATTTGAAATAATAACCCTTATCCTACTTTTATGGACCAAATGGTTTCTTTGAATCATTATAACAAGCAGTGCCTACATGAATGATCTCATTTCACTCTCGGAACTTGATGCAGAAGAAAATATTGGTAAAAATCTGGGGGTAAGGAATTCACCAAAAATCACAGGTCTAGGAATTGGCAGTGTTAGGGATCAAAACCTGGCTTGTATGTACAGATGCTCTTCAAATCTATCATAAATTGAAAATACTGATATGTCAAAAATACATTTAAAATTTTTTAAAAATTCATTTAAAACACTTAACATACCAAATGTCATAATTTAGCAATTATAGGGTAACAACTGCTTACCCTTATGGGCACACAGCTGGCCAGGAGCTGTGATTCATTGCCTACTCCCTGAACCAGGAGAAAGTACGGCACCAATGTCACTCATTTGGAAAAACATCAAAATTCAAAATATGGTCTCTACTTAGATTTTCATTGTTTTCTTGCCATAATAAAATTTTAAAATTGTAATATGAACCAACAGCAGGTCAGGACCATCTGTACTCTTAAGTTTTCTGCTCTAATTCCAAATTTCACAAAAAAATATAAAACGATTACTTTCAAAGACACATAAAGTAACAAAAACATGTAGATTATACATTTTAGAAGTGATAGTAAGTTCTTAACATAGTAAGACACAAATATGTACACTCTAATACACTATTTCTTGTAAGCCTACGAGAGGGGAAAAAAGAGGCAAAATATTAAATATCTTCTTGAAGACAGACTTCGCAAAGGCTGCCAGGACAGACAGGCACCAATAATGAGTCACACCACAATAGTATCAGACAAATAGGTATTTAAAATAACAAAAGAACAACTCTCTTTCCCATCAGCTGGATGGAAATACCGAGGGCACACTTGTCAACAAGGTACTCAGCCCTGAATGCTGGGAGAGAAACTGAACACATTGAATGGCACAGTCAGCCCCAGGGAGAATTTGGTAAGATGAGGTTAACAGGGCTCAAGAAATGGTTGTGCATTTCATCTTTTACATACTTTCAAAATGGAGGAGCTGTGGCTCAACAGCCACGCAAGAGTAGAATAGAAACACCAAATCCCCAGGAATGTATACGGTGGCAAGGATCTGTCAAAAGAGCCTAACACAGAATTCACTAATAATCTCAATATATGAAGTATTATGCATCAATGAGAAGACAAACCACTCCACAGAAAATAACGAGCCCGGATGTGAGGGTGATCTGGCTATGACACCTGTCACCCCACTGATCGCCAGGGTTGATTCGGTTGATCTGGCTGGCTGGGCAGGTGTCCCCTTCCTCCCTCAGTGCTCCATGTGTGACCCTCTGGAAGCTGCACACTGGCTCTAAGAGGACAACGACCCCTGATAGAGGAGGACCGTTCCTCGGTCACGGTGTACGAGTAGCTGCGCTCCCCTGCTAGAACCTCCAAATAAGCTCTCAAGAAAATAATGAGTAGAGAACATAAACAGGTGAGTCATAAAAGTAAAAAT